CAAAGGATGCGAGCATTATCCTGAATGATTGGGCGTAAAGCGTCTGTAGGTGGCTTTTCAATTCCGCCGTCAAATCATGGCCAGCGTGACCATGTCATATGGTGTAGTAGAGTGGCATGAACATGCCGACCTTAGCAGTCTAGCAGCGTGACCACACCGAAAGTGAGTGTGACCATGTCGACGAGTGGGAAACACTTTAGGAATGAAATTTGATGGCCAAAACTGTGATTTTTGCTATAAAATCAAATCTTACATCTTCTTAGAGGGAATTCTACATCAAAGAAGGCTTGGAGACTAAAAGAAGAGAGTTTGGGAGAGATTTTGAGGGAACTCTTGAGGGTTGTCTTCCTCCTTGGGTAGAAACCTTTAAGGGAGAGTTTTTCTTTGTAGGTAGTGAGAGAGTTTGTATAAGAGGGAAATGTACTGACTTTACAGATGAAATAATTTCTTGTAAGTTTTTCATATTGATGTTGCTTGCAATGAATTTTCATATGACTTTTTTCTGCTATGATTTTGTCCGTAATGAGCTACTAAGCTTTTCTTTGTGTCTCTGTGATGTATGGTATAGTGGATGTGTCGTCAGTTTTATGTAATGTTCTTCCATTAATCATTTTCTTGTGCTTTCATGATCTATATTGTTGGTGAACCTCCGAACTTAATTTACTTCTAGCCAATAAGAAAGTTAAAATGTTTAGTGAAACTGCGACATCTAACTGTTGGGTAGTGGAAGCAAAGGGTTAACCACAAAATTTCAAGAGGATAGACATATTCCAGTGGAATTTTGCAATCATCTCAGGGGATCAGATAAGTCATGTGGTATGCCATGGGAATTGAGGAAGCCTCAACTTCATGGATTCTAAGCTTTTTTTTACCAGTACAAACACATAAGGAGTACTATGTCTCCATTGACAACAATTACATAGCAAAAGTACCTTGTTTTTTGCTCACAATCACCATGATCCCCGAATCATAGAACCTTGAGCCTCATTTACCTTGAAGGAACTTATGAACAACCATCCTATTTTTTGTTTTTCTTTTAATTTCTAAGTATAATGCTCTATTATGACCTTAGGGCCTAAGAACCTCATTTTGATAAAGGCCAAGCTAGGTTAACTAAATTAGTAAACTAGAGATTTTTTCGTGGAAATAAGTATCACACTTTCCTGTAGGATCGATACACAGTACTCTTGAACCGCATTACTACTTGATACGTGCACTTGCGTTGTACAGCTGACTTATGTATCGGTAAGTTTTAGCACGTCACAAACCCTATTTTCCTTTTTATATGACTCCTTGGGCACAAAATTACAAGGGAAGTCAATTATACAATTAATTTTCTCAATTTTGGTGACACTAATTGTTTAACAGTTTTTCCATCCATATCGTAGTTCTCGCTTTCAAGGAGCAGGAAAACTCAGAGAACTAACATGTATATGCCAAAACTGCTAGCACGATTCTCAAAGCATTTAAACGACCAAGGACGATGACAGACAATCAATGCGACAAGTGAAGGAGCATGGTCTGATCCAACCGTTCGATGATTGATTGCTCTATTGGGAGAGGGGGGG